CAGTTGAGTTCATTCAACACAAGGTCGACTGATGTTTCAAAACTTGTTAATTTTCTTGCATTACACAAAAACTAAGGTCCAACAAGACACATAAGCATATTCCTAGGCCTGTTCTGATTGACACTCCTATGTCTAAGCCTGGTTCTCACGAGAGCCCTAGTATCCGGATCGGGAGCTAACCATTAGCGCTAACCGTTAGCACCTGCTTGAGAACGCCCGATCGGTTAGCGCTAACCGTTAGCAGTATCCGGATACCACTAACGGTTAGCAAACGCTATCAGTTAGCAAGTTGAGCGCGTTTTTATCCCCAACCAATCACACTTACGCGTTTACAATTTCCAGTTTCTTATTGGCCAGTGATTCGATCACCATATTTTTGGTATCTGGATCGGCATTTTCTCGTATGGACGCATGGCAGCTAATAGCAGGATCCGGATCCTGCTAACCGATAGCAGCCGTGTGAGAACATAGCCCTATTTGGAATAATTTAGCTGATGAATTAAAAGAGTTACCCACAATAAGCAAATTTAAAAAGCAAATATTTCAGTATCTTAGAGAAAAATATAATTATAAATGTTAACAATGATAGGTCCATATATGTTTCATCTTTTATTTTATTAATGTTATTATACTATTATTAATATTATTATTAATTATCATTTTTATTGTATTATTATTTTACTATTATTTTTATTGTTTTATTTGTTTGTAGGGTTACATATTTAATGCATTTTCTTGCCTATTTTGTAACCTTTTTCTTTTACCTGCTGCCATCTTATTTAATTTGTTGATAATTGTATTGTTTATGTTGATTATTGGAATTAAAGATATTTTAAATGAATAAAATGAAATTATCAGATCCCCGTCTACTAGTTTAGTCCCTCCATCGGAAATGTTCATGTCCCTGTATGATAGCTTAGTCCAACTGAATTTATATTTCAGAGCCACTCATGCTTCATAGCACCAAGATGTAAACAAGTATAAAGAGTTTGGTGTGCATTGCACTCAGTTTTTTTTAAATATATGCCTAGTATTTTATTTATTTTTTTCTTTCTTATTAATTTCTGGATAATATTTTTATATAAAGTCAAATTCAGATATAACGTCTGACATTGTAAATGGAGCAAATAAATTGATTGAATGTTTGCGCAGGGTTTTGATGAAATATGACACATCCAAAGTCTACTAGATTCTTGTAATTAGTAGAGTGTCTTAAATGGAGGTTTCTCTACAAATATTGACATTTTATAAATTTTGTATTAAGTGCCTCTACATTAATGTTGAGGTAAAAGTTTAATGATATGCAAGCTTTAAATTAAATCAGAAAGCTGAGTATAATTAGTTTTATATTACACGTAAACAACCACTGTTTAATAATTCAATGCATCATACAATGATATTGTATCCTCATCATAAAATATAATATAAAAATACAGGTATTTGATCTGGCTTAGAAATTGTGAATCAATACCTTCCAGGGTTTTATTCTTTATTCTTTCTAGCAATTAGCTGATATATCCGTCAAGAGTAGACAAATGCAAATCAAGATATCTTATGCATTCATTTTTTGTTTTCAACAAATCACTTAGAAATTTTCTTAAACAGCAACAGTAAAACATATTTTTTGTATCCTAATGGGGGTTTGTAACACTTTTAATGGAATATACCGTAATTGATCATTTGCATTATACATTAATATTGTATCAATTTCAAATCAGGTTAAAGTTTAAGAAAACGACAACTTGGAAATCTATATCAACATCCTAAAGGAAATTTGAAGTAGGTTGACGTCGCTAAATTTACGACATTACAATTTAATTTTTCAAAGTTTCAATTAGCTATCCATATAACTTCAGTTTAATGCATTGAATGAAAGATTGGGAAATAAGCAGTAATGTGTTGTCCTAGATTTAAAACACCCTTAACAGTTAAGTTCTGTACACACTTATCAAATTTCATGTGACAGGCAACTGTGATATATTATGCCCATATTTATATGTAATACAACGTCATCATGACCATATATGGGCACATTACACAAATTCGTCACATGAAAGTTGATAGTGGGGACAGAGTGTTATATCAACATTCCCAAGAGATGAACATGAATAATATAAACAGCTTCTTCATGTAAAACTGCTCTTTTTGCTTCATCCATACTATCAATATGATATGTCCATATTTAGATGTAATATGACATCACTATGCCCACATATAGGCACATCACACAAATTTGTCACATAAAATAGCTTAAAGGGCTGTCTAAACTATAACGATATCAATCAACGATAAAAAGCTATAAAACGCAATTGTTCATATAGAAAATAAACAAATAAGAAATTTTCACACTAGCACGATTCGATAGTAATTTATCGTGTATACGATAAATAAAAACAATTTCACTAATCAAATCAAATGATGTCATAATCATGAGAAAACGATAAAATTGTTTTTACTACTACGATTTTTTTTTATCGTCATAGTATAAACTTGCCTTTGCATTAAATCTCCAGGTTACAAAACTAATCATCATTAACCTTTAATCTTATGTATATAAGTAAATTCATTCAGGTAATTTATTTATGTTGGATTATTTATACCTATCATCATAATAAAACATGATAACATTAAACTATTTTAAACATTGGCATTTTGTCATCATTTGTAAAGAAACATGGTGACAATTGAAGTGAATATAATTCGGTTACTGCTTTATGACCCATACCAACATACACACACACATCCACAAACCATGCTCCCACACATCTGACACACACATACTGGAATTCTTAAATATGACATTTATACACAAATCATAGTAAGATACAAAAATGGTAAAACTATATAAAAGATCTTTTTAAAGCCTTTTAATATCCCCACTATCAAATTTAATGTGATAAATAACTGTAGTATGTCCATATTTGGACGTAATACTGTAGTACATCAGTATGCCCATATACGGGCAAATCACATAAATTTGTCACAAAATTTGATAGTTCGAATAGAGCTTTATACTACCATTTTACAAGTATTTTGTTTATTCTTTTTATGTACAGTACTTGGACTAAATACTAACAGTACTGACGTTCTAGTGTGCTCAAGATATAAAATCTCAAAATATCCATTTATGGAGTTGAGAAATTGTACATTTCCCTATTAAAGCCCCATTCCCGGCAAAATTTCACTAAAAACTTACTTTTTTTTAGAAAATATGCATTTGCATTACTCCAATTATTATAAATCATGAAAAAATATTGGCATGAATTTTAGTTTTACGCAAAAGAATAAAAAAAATGAGAAATACAGACTATTTCTCATAGAATATTACCATTCAGTTAAACTAGCAATTCCGTATTATATTTATAAATCTTTATAACATTATACAAAAATTAGATTTTTCTTAACAACTGAAATTTTGCCGGAAATGGGGCTTTAAAATACATATACTGTAAACATATGATGATCATGATGTTGATAATGATCTTTGGTAGTGGTCATAGTCATGCTGATGGCAATGATAATGATGACAACAGTGGTGTCAATGATGATAATTATGATACTGATAGCAATGATGACGATAAAAGTGGTGTCAATGATAATTATAATGCTGATGGCAATGATAATGATGATAATAGTGGTGTCAATGATAATAATTATGATGCTGATGGTAATGATAATGATGATAATAGTGGTGTCAATGATGATAATTATAATGCTGGTGGTGATGATACTGATGATCATTGCGGTGGTGATGATGACGATGTTGATAATGATGAAAATGGTGAGAGCGACATTGGTGACAATGACGGTTATGATAATGATAGTAAAATGGTAATAATGCTGATATTTATGAAGATGAGGATGCTGATAATGGCAAAAATGTCAATGTGATAAACTTAATATCCAGTAATAACAAAAGTCATAATTATTAATGCATTTTCTTATAAATTACAAAAACATCTACAACCTTGTAAAACAAGTATAATAAAAAATTACTTTTAAAAATTGTCCCATAGTGTACTAGAAGAAAAAGGCAATACAATTATTATTCAAAGATAGAAAATTCAAACTCGCCAGATTCTAGAATGAAAAACATTTTACATTTTAAATTCTACTCCAGGGAATTAAAATATAAAATTTCATGATGTGAAGATGATATCGTTCGGTACATCTTGTCTTAATAATGAGAAAGATAGATTAAAAGATAATGTGCACATGAGGAATCTTTTTGATAATTCCAGACGAAATAATAGTATTCCATCGGAGATGATGAATAGTTATCAATGGATTAGAGATGAAAAATAGTAATAAAAAATTAATCGGCCTAATAAAAATATAAAATAATGATAATAATAATTTTTATAAACTGTATGTTGACTCGTGACATTTTAATCTTAAAATTAGCTACTTTAAAATATTGTTTACTATTAGTATAGATATGCTACTTCATTCCATTACTACTAAAATCAATGACATGCAGAAATTGTTAAGACAGTAGAGATGTATTGTCCCCTGGAAATGACAACAAAATCATAAAAAAATAATTCTAAAATTAAATTGTTTATTTTGCATTAACATACAAATTACTAACTTGAGCATTGAAATTATTGAATTAAAAAAATGTGTACCCTGTAATAAAAACAATAAAATGTCTGGTGACTGGAAGTTCTTTAAATTTTCTTATCATTTGCTAAAATTATGGGTAAACAATTTTTAAAATACATTAATGTTCAAGTTGATAATTTTTAACGTTACTTCATATTGCGCAAGTTACTTCAAAATGCGCAAGTTTTTTTGGTATTTGGCATGAGACAATAAATCTTTAAAATATTATTTCCTAATCAGCTTATAAAAATCACCAGTTAACCTGCAAGTATCATACAAAATCAATGGCTTAAATACTGGTATTTTCAGTAGTCTTCAAAAGCACATTAAGTAAACAAATAAAACATTAGTGATTTTGTCATAAATTAGTAACAAATGATTGATGGGTACTGTACCTGGGTATGACCGGTAGAAGCCGGTTGAACTCCCTACGTACTGCCAAAGGAGTTCGGTGTCATTCATCATATTATCCATAAAAACCTCATCAATTCCATCAGTCACTTTGATAGCATTAAGTATAATTGGATCTAGATTTAAAAATAACAATTTATCGATTAGGGAATTAATGTTTTCCAAAAGAACTCCATAACAGGGGCCCCAAGTCTCCGGGAACTCGCAGGAGTCTCCCAGAAATCGGTACGGCCTCCGACACTCCCATGAGCAAGCAAGAATTTTCCAGAAATTAACCCATATCCCGCAAATTCATAATATTTGCATGTTTTCACTGCTTTATTATCAATCTCACGAAAGTCATTGCCAATGTGTATCATAATGTGCAGCAAAATAAAATTAAATGTTATGAAAGCTCATTAACCAGAGCAGTGTGGGATTCAAGAGGGAAGCCCCAACCCCCAAATTTTTCTAAATTAAAAAAATGAAGAGAAAGAGAAAATCATATACAAATTTACAGTAAGTCTGAGACTGAGAGTGTCATTTCTAGTCATCTAGAGGTGCTACAGTCATAAATTTTCTTACTGTACCTCAGCCCCAACCATGGTGGGATTGATGTGGTATACACCTTACATCTGTAAAAGTCCCTCGCTGCTCCCCCTATTACAAATTCTCGGATGCAAATGTCCCGACGGGAGAAAAGTGTGCGTAGTCGGGAGTTGCTCAAAATATATCGGAAGTGGTCCAAGGGGTGAAGCCCCTCAAAGTTTGAGAATTTTCTATTAAAATGTAGAAAATACAGTACATATAATTTATTTCTACCCGACAAATTGTGGTTTTTCTCCCGGACGGGAACCCCTCTCCCTTCTCCCAGAATTGACTTCTTCCAACTTGGGACCCCTGCCATAATGTTGCATCTGTAATAAGCACATTTTGTGTTCGAACCTATCAAGTACAACCGTAGATAAAGTGCCTTGCCCAAGGACACAAGTGAGATGCACAGCGAGGGATTAAACCACTGACCTATAGATTAAGAAGCTAAACCGCAAACATTGTACCAAACCGCTCCTCCTTTTAAACAACTGTGCTATGGTAAGTTGGTACCTTAAGCCCTATCAAGAATTTTCTTTAACAGAAAACTGTTGTATGCCCAAATTTAGTCATGATATGCCTATATATGGTGATGATGTGATGTCATCATGACAATATTTAGGCATGTCACATTTTTGTCACATAAAATTCCTACACAGGGCTACAGAAACCCAAAGACTTACCTTTTACATATATATCTGTTGGAATCTGTACTGCACTTTGATTATAAGTTACATTTTTCCCACCAAATGTATCTGTTAACACACTTTGTAGTTCCTTAGTGGGTCCTTTAGCATTCAAAAAATCTACCTCAGGATTCTGTGAGAAAAATCAAAGCAATAATACATCGAGAAAAAAAAAATTTCAGCTTTAAGCACTAGGCCCAAGGATATGTCAAACAGTAAATTTGATCACTCTTCAAAGTGGCAATCTCCTCACAAGGTAAACATACACACAAGATGTTTCATATAGCCAAAGTCTCATTATGAGGTTTAGGGGGTGGAGTTGCTTTTGCCGTGAAAAAAACATCCTGTTTACCGTGACAGGAATTAAATCCCAGGACCATGGGACTGGAAAGCAAGCATCTTGCACTTAAAACCAAAGATACTAGAAATACAAGATAGAGTTCTCGCATTGTAAAAATGTGGCGGAAGTCGTGCCCAACGTAGGCGGCGCCCTTCTTTTTAACCATGCAAGTTTCCTATACTTCGTGCCCAACGTACAGGGCGCCCTTCTGTTGCTAAGTATATCCAGACGCAAAAGGCGCCCTTCCTTTTCCAC